ATCGCTTTCGACTCCATGCGGGGATGCTTTTTGAGCTCATTTTTGGACCCTCTTTTTGGAGCTGCTTTCTAAGGCTAACTCGTGGAAGCACTTACAACCCCAAAACGAGGCTCCAAAATGAGGCCTCGTTCTGGCTCCAGTTTTGGGGCCCAATTTGGGTTCAATTTCGGTAAGCCATTTCTCGTTGCCTGCAGGCCGTGCTCTTCTGGCGCCACGCTGCTTGGTTGGAACGCTCCAGCGCGAAGCAGCCAGTCTACATCAATATAGATGAAACGGCTTTAGCCTATTCGTTCCATGCTGCGCCTGGCCTGATACAGCGGAAATTCCACGCAGAGGTTCAAATTAGACCTCAAGACGCACGTGGGTGCATCACCCACGTCGCTCTCGTCTCAAATGTCCTCAGTGTGCAAGCGCATTTGCCACAGATTTTAATATGTAACAAGCGTCGTCTCAGCAGAACCCTGGAGCAACAATTGCAAAGCGTTGTTCCCTCCACCGTGACTCTCTGTCGTGAGGATTCCTCATGGAATTCAGCACGACATATGGTCTCCTTGCTAACTCTCTTGGGTCAGCTCTTTCGCATCCGCGTCCCGCAATATCAGGCCATTGTTGTCTTCGACGCGGCCTCGTGCCATCTTTCTCCGGGCGTCATAAGAGAAGGACGCCTCCAGGGGTTATTCATGCTGCCGGTGCCCCCAGGCATGACGTCCTACCTGCAGCCTTTAGATTTATGGTGTTTTGGACCATATAAGAAATGGTTGGAGCGCGAAAACCGCCAGCAGCGAATTTGCCAAAATGGGCTCGTGTCTCTAGAGACTTGGTTTAGAACAATTTTCAAAGCGTGTACAGACTACTGGACGAATCGTCCCTTTTGGAAGGACTTTGCACAGGCAGGCCTTCCCACATCCGAGCAAAGGTTGCATGGCAAGCTTGCCTCGCTGTTCCCGGAGGGAATTCCCTGTCTGGAGCAAGCTTTGTCTCCAGATGAATTTGCACAGTTGTTGCCTAAAAGGCACGACTTGACCCGGACTTTTTCTGACTGGGTGGGCGGTCCCCGGCGAGAGGTGCCGGTGCTTTCCTAAACATCTTGAAGCATGCAGAGAAGACGTGCTGCCGCAAAAAATTGCAACTGTACAGGAACGACTTGTGCCCCTAGCGTATCAGCTGCTGCCAAGCACTCTGATTTTGGCTCCGGCCATCAAGCAGTTAATATGGCGCTTGCTGAGTTCTCTGCTTGGCTCCAGCAAACCCTGCCTTAAAACACCGTGCTGAAGGCATGGCAAACAACGAGGCAGGTCAACACTGTTTCACAGCACCCCTGCTGAAACAAAGCGCCCCGCCCGAGGCCGAGGTTGCGGGACCTGAGCTTCCACGAGAGCCCGACCGTGTGGAACTGCCCCAGGTAGCCATGCCAAAAAAGCATCCACAGGAGCAGCTGCTCACTCGTATCTACGCAGGAAACGCTGAACGAACGCCTTGCTGCCCTAAAAGCTGCCAGGGCAGCTGCGAAGGCTCACAGCATTGTGTGTCTTAGGAGGCTCAGGCCCTTTCTTGTACAGCCTTGTGTGCCTCTCCAGGTACAAGCCAAGCAGCTGAGCAAGGTGGTAAAGGCCGAAACAAAAAATCTCAAAAAAGCGCGGGCGGTGGCACGAAAGCTGAGCGAGGCAGACTTGCTAGGGCTTCTTGTAGAAAAGAGGCAACCAGTTCTCTGAGAGTGGGAGCTGGAAGCTTCTAGAAACTGTTTTTTCGAAAGCTTTTCCCTCGTTTCTCACTCCCGCAGCTGATGCTCTTGATAATCTGCAGACTTCTTCTGAAGTCGACAAGTTTGTGCAGACTCCAAACTTTTCTTCTGCACTCTAAACGCCTGTGCTGTTGCTGCTTTCTGCAAGAGAAGCAGATGCAGCGACACGTGCCTTGAAAATATTGCTGCTTTGTTTTGCTGAAATGATGTCGGAGATGGTGGCAGTAGTCCTGTGAAGTTTTCATTCGCTCTTTTGCAAGTAACAAGTCGTAGCCGTGATGCTTTTGTCCTAACATGTTCAGACTTTTGGCAAGAACATTGTTAATGTGCTTTGGGGAAGACTGAAGACAGCAGTGCACGGCAGCATGAGCTCAACAATGGTGTGCTTTGTCTGCGATGGATCGGTCGTGACCTGAGATGCTAGCCTGTCTCTGCGTTGTTGCGGGCGTTCTTGCAAGCCCTGCTGTCCTATTTAGGAAAATATTGCATCGGATCAAGCTTTTGAGATTTCGGAAGATATTGCATCGGATCAAACTTTTGAGAAATAGGAAGTTATTGCTTCGGATCAACCTTTTGAGATGTGCTCTGGAGTACTGCTAGCGATGGTAGAGACAGCAGTGCAGTGCAGTACAGCGGCATCTGACGACTGAAGACAGTAGTGCAGTGCAGCAAATACTGCGCCGTTCTTGAGGTGTGATTTTTTTTTGCGACGGATCAGTCGTGACCTGAGATCCAAGCCTCTCTCTGTGCTGTTGCGGCCGTTCTTGCAAGTAGCCGCGTCGTGCTGTCATATTTGGGAAGATATTGCATCGGATCAACCTTTTGAGATTTAGGACATAATTGCATCGGATCAAGCTTTTGAGATGTGCTCTGGAGTGCTGTAAATGGTAGGGACAGCAGTGCAGTGCAGCGCAGTGCAGTGCATCTGAAGACTGAAGACAGCAGCGCAGTGCAGCATCAGCTCAATAATGCGCCGTTCTTGAGGTGTGATTTTTTTTGCCACGGATCAGTCGTGACCTGAGATCCAAGCCTCTCTCTGTGCTGTTGCGGCCGTTCTTGCAACTAGCCGCGTCGTGCTGTCATATTTGGGAAGATATTGCATCGGATCAACCTTTTGAGATTTAGGACATAATTGCATCGGATCAAGCTTTTGAGATGTGCTCTGGAGTGCTGTAAACGATGGTAGGGACAGCAGTGCAGTGCAGCGCAGTGCAGTGCATCTGAAGACTGAAGACAGCAGCGCAGTGCAGCATCAGCTCAATGATGCGCCGTTCTTGAGGTGTGATTTTTTTTGCCACGGATCAGTCGTGACCTGAGATCCAAGCCTCTCTCTGTGCTGTTGCGGCCGTTCTTGCAAGTAGCCGCGTCGTGCTGTCATATTTGGGAAGATATTGCATCGGATCAACCTTTTGAGATTTAGGACATAATCGCATCGGATCAAGCTTTTGAGATGTGCTCTGGAGTGCTGTAAACGATGGTAGGGACAGCAGTGCAGTGCAGCGCAGTGCAGTGCATCTGAAGACTGAAGACAGCAGCGCAGTGCAGCATCAGCTCAATGATGCGCCGTTCTTGAGGTGTGATTTTTTTTTGCGACGGATCAGTCGTGACCTGAGATCCAAGCCTCTCTCTGTGCTGTTGCGGCCGTTCTTGCAAGTAGCCGCGTCGTGCTGTCATATTTGGGAAGATATTGCATCGGATCAACCTTTTGAGATTTAGGACATAATTGCAACCTTTTGAGTTGCTAACGCGGTAAAGGGCAGTGTTCGTGGTGTCGTGCTCTGGAGTGCTGCTAACGCGGCAGAGACAGCAGTGCAGCGGCAATTCAAGACTCTTCGCAGGGTTGCTCTTTCAGTTCAGCTCCTTTTAGGGTTTAGGGTTCCTCAACACATCTGGGGTTTCCCAACCAACATCTCCTTTTAGGGTTGAAGGTGTTATTTTCTGGTTTTGAGCGGAGATTTTTAGACTTCTGCCAAGAACACGCTTCCAAAGAATAGCTGGAGACTCTGCAAATCCAGTTTTACGTGGTGTGGCGCTCTGGAGTGCTGTTAACGCGGTAGAGACAGCAGTGCAGTGCAGCGGCAATTGAAGATTGAGTAGAGACAACAGTACAGTGTAGCACCGGGTAAATCAAGCGCTGCTCCCTAGGTTTTTCTGATTTCTGACACATCGGTCGCGACCTGAGATTGACACACTGAGAACAGTCCCAGTCATGGTTTGGAGTGCCGCTACGTGATGGAGAGCGATGTTAGTGGCGTCGTGCTCTAAAGTGCTGCTATAACGCGGTAGAGACAGCAGTGCAGTGCAGCCGCAGTTTCAAGACTGACTAGAGACAACAGTACAGTGTAGCATCAGGTAAATCAAGCGCAGTTCCCTAGGCTTTTCTGATTTCTGACGCATCGGTCGCGACCTGAGATTGACAGACTCAGAACAAGTCATGGTCTGGAGTGCTGCTACGTGATAGAGAGCGATGTTAGTGGCGTCGTGCTCTGAAGTGTTGCTTTAACGCGGTAGAGACAGCAGTGCAGTGCAGCGGCAGTTTGAAGACTGAATGTTGCTGTGTCGTGCTGTGGAGCGTGCGTGCAGTGCAGCTTTGTTTTCAGAATGAAAACTGCAGGCAGTGCAGTTGCCGAGGCTTGCTTGACTTCCATCGGATTTGTGACTGAACAGGGCAAAAGTCCAGCCGCTCCTTGCTTTGTAGCTTGCAGAGCAGGCGTTGACGCAATTTACACTTCGGCATTGTCCTGCTCCCACCACGTACACTTCACAGCGTAGAAGCGCCGCACGATGCAAAGAGATGCCTGTTTTGCTCGCTACCCCCCTCCTTGGTTTCATTTTGCTCGGGATGCGCTGCTCATGTTGCTCGCTTTGTCTCCCCAGTTTTATTGCTCAAAGGACGCTCTTCTGGTCGCTCAAGCGTGGATCCACCAAGAAAAAGACATGCCATCGTCCACCTGGGCCGAAGGACTGGAGACCACTAGTAGCTGGAAGGCCACAGTGAGCCCCGTGAGGCGTTCCTTTTTTTCTGCTCTGGGAGAATAATAATTCTATTCTCCCACAGCGGGAAAAAAGGAATGCCTTCCCCACTAGGGGGATTTCCATCTGGAAGGTTCCTTTGCGTTCCTTTCCGCTCTGTTTTCCACCAGAAACGTGGAAGTCGCAAGGGTTCTGACAGGTTTGGTGTTCCCTTTCCATTCCTTTCCACAGTTTTGGACATCCAGTGATCTGTTCTGCCGTTGGCGCGTGGCCCAAAGTTGCTTCAATGAAGCGCCGGCGTTTGCTATATAAGCAGCCTCTTCCTGCCGCGCCGTCGAGTGATGAGCTTGGGCAGGTGAGAACGCTTGTGAGAGACAAGTGGGTTGCCTCCTACCTTGCCGAGCATGGACGTGGGGGTCAGGATGCACGTGCTGCGGCCAAACGAGAGTTCACCTCAGCCGCCAACAAGCGTCAGATGCTGAGTTCCATGCTGGAGTCTGGGCAGGTACCACCCCGGCTTCATGCAGCAGCCACCCGTCTAATCATGGCTTGGACATCTGAGACGCCCCTCCGTGGCCCACATGAGGTGGAGGAGGGTGTCATGAGTTCGTACCGTGGCAGTGGGACTATGTTTCGGTATTCAGGGTCGTGGAGCCGTGTGGACGATGCCGCAATGTCGGCGGTGCTGGTTGCGAAGGGTCACAATGGCATTTCTGAGGTATGCAGTCGCCTCAAGTGTCACCCCTATGTGCAAGGATTGTGGGACGAGTTCTCGGCCTTCAGGCAGCAGCTGGTGTCAAGCACACCTATCACGCGCTGGACTGCAGCCATGGAGCTACATGTGGAAGCTTCGCTTGCGGCCAACCCTCCCATTCCATCGGTACACATACATTTTATGTTTGATGCCATTGGCAAGACCATCTCATTTCGAAATGAGCCTGGATTGAAGTTTCGCAACTCGCAGCCGTACAGGTCGCTTGCAGCACCAGTCGCCCGCGGACGGGCTTGCAAACGAGCCTATGATCAGGGGCACTTTTACTTGACTCCGCTCAAGACAGGTGCCATACTCCATGCCACAAATGCACCACCGTTCAAGTCCTATGCAGTGTCTCCAGAATGGATCACAAGCATGTGGCAAGGGGATAAATTGTCTCCGGAATCGGCCAAGGAACTCTATCTCAAGTGCAAAAAGCACGTCAAACAGTATTGTGACAATGTCACATCACAGGTCCAGATGACCCAGCAGAGCAACTTGCAGGAACGCCAGGCTGCAGCACAGGCAGCCTTGCTCCGCATGCATCGTCCTCGGGTGTATCTGGAACCAGTGGAACAAGAGTTCTTGCCTCAATTCCAGGTGGATGCTTTCAGACGACGCTTCTTGGTGCTGGACGGACCCACGAAGCTCGGCAAGACACTCTGGAGTTGAATTGTGCATCGTCCATGGAACCCAATTTGCGGGACTTCAACAATGATGTTCATCGCGCGATCGTGTTTGATGAGGCATCTTGTGCCATGGTTCTCCGGCACAAGAAGCTTTTCCAGGGTGGTGTGCAACCACTGGAACTGGCCAGCTCCAACACGAATTGCTACTCTTACAAGGTTTGGGTCTATGGCACGATGATGATCGTCACAAGCAACACCTGGACTGCAGAGTTGCATGAGCTGTCACCTGAGGACGCATCATGGCTGCGTTCCAATTCGGTGCACGTCTACTGCACACAGAAATTGTATTGCTAATGACTGCTAATGCATGAATGACTATGGCGAAGAAAGGGCCACGTCTGCTGCTGTCACTTTGGTGCAAGGCTTCCAAGACCACGTCAGATTTTCTCACTCTGGGGCCAGTGCCGAGGCAGAGAGTTTCAAGCTAGGACGTCTGCTGTTTTCAGTTTGGGGTGACAGTGCCTCCCAAGATGACGTTGGGTTTCCGAAGAAGGTGTTGAAAGTGCCAACGTCTGCTGTTGTCACTTCGGCTGTTGTCACTTCGGTGCAAGGCTTCCAAGACCACGTCAGATTTTCTCACTTTGGCGGGCAGTGCCTCCAAAAAAGGCTTCCAGCCCTCCAGCCTCCAGCCTTCCAGCCTTCCAGCTCTGCAGGTCTCCAGCCCTCCAGCTTTTTAGGGCAGAGAAGCAGAGGGAGGGGCTGGAAAGGGTTGGGAGCTGGAGAAGGCTGGAAGGCTGGAGGGCTGAGGGGTGGAAGGCTGGAACTGGAGCGCTGGAAGGTGGAGGCTGGAGGGAAGGCTGGAGGGTTGGAGGAGGGCTGGAAGGCTGGACTCCAGCCCTCCCTCCAACCTTCCAGCCCTCCAGCCTTCCAGCCTGGCTGAGGGGTGGAAGGCTGGAGTGCGGGAGGGGAGGGAGTGAGGGAGGGAGGGAGGGAGGGAGTGAGGGAGGGAGGGAGGGAATGAGGGAGTGAGGGAGGGAGGGAGGGAGCGAATCAGGGAATGAGGGAGTCAGGGAATGAATGAGTGGTTGAGACGTTGATGCCGTCCGTATCTGCCGTATCGTGTTTCGCTAGTGGTTTCCATGATGTTCCATGCAAAAAATGCAATATTTGTCAAGAAAGTGAGAGTTCGCGGGGCCACCAGCGACGGGCAGAGTTCGAAAAAACTGGTCTATGAAGTGTTTGACACGTTGAGTCCGTCCGTATTTGCCGTGTCGTTGTCCGCTAGTGCTTTCCATGCAAAAAAGGCAAGATTGTCAAGAAACTGAGAGTGGCGCAGCCACCAGGGACAGTGCAAAGTTCGAAAAAATGGTGTATGAAGTGTTTGACACATTCAGACCGTCCGCATCTGCCGTGTTGTATTTCGCTAGTACTTTCCGTGCAAAAATGCAATATTGTCTAGAAATTGAGAGTTCGCGCAGCAACCAGCCGCAGTGCAGAGTTCGAAAAAAATGGTGTATCAAGTGTTTGACACGTTCAGACCGTCCGCATCTGCCGTGTTGTATTCCGCTAGTGCTTTCCGTGCAAAAAAGGCAACATTGTCTAGAAATTGAGAGTTATCGCAGCCACCAGCCGCAGTGCAGAGTTCGAAAAAAATGGTGTATCAAGTGTTTGACACGTGCAGGTTGTGAGTATCTTCTGGGGGAGCGCGGGAGGGAGGGAGGGAAGGAGGGAAGGAGGAGGAAAGGAGGGAACAGGGAGGGAGGGAAGGGAGGGAGGGAGGGAGCGAGGGAGGGAGGGAGGGGCGGGAAAGAGAGAGAGAGAGAGAGAATTACTGAAAGTGACAGTGAGAGCGAGAGTGAGAGTCAGAGTGCGAGTGCGAGTGCGGGTGAGAGTGAGGGTGAGAGTGAGTGTGCGCGTGAGTGTGAGCGAGAGGGAGAGAGAGTGCCCAGGTGATGGCGGGGTCGTCAAAGTCAGAGGCAGCCGCTTTTGAAGTGTAGTGCGCGTGACCGCTGCGGAGTCGTCAAAGTCAGAGGCAGCCGCTTTTGAAGTGTAGTGCTCGTGACCGCTGATCCTGTTTGTTTCCTGTTTGTCGAACCCACCCCTCCGGGGGGCGGGGCAGTGTGTCTTGCTGGCGCAGGGCTTGGGACCGCTTTATGGGGCTTGATTCCCACAGCAAGTGCTAGGAGGCCAAGTCGTGCATGTAGAGTAAAAGCCAGCGGTGTTCAGACAGGCTATGCGATTGATTGCTTGTGCTGCATCATGCAGTTTTCCACAGCCACTAGCTGCTACTCGACATCCGTTTTCTCAGAGCAGAGGCGGTTTTGCGTTTGAAACATGGCTGCCGCAAATCCAGCAGTGGAGCTGCAGCGGATCCGCCAGGAGGTTTCTTTTGGTAGGTAGGACGACATAGAAAGGGAGCAGTTGTGCATTGTTGCTACTTTCTGTCGTGTGATTTCCTTTGGAAGGTTGCATGTCTTCGAAGAAAGATTTCTTCGTTGTCACGGACGAGAAGAGCCGAGAAGCAGCGGGAAGCCAACATGGGCTTGAATCCCCGTCAAGTGTTTGTCTTATTGGCGATTTATGTACTTACTGGTGACCCAGCGGTGGCTCTCGAGTATATCAGCGCGAAGGCTGCACGTGAAAGGATGGAAGAGGCAGACGCAGAAGACAAGAAACGATATGTAGAAGAGCTGTACCTCAAAACAAGCTTGGAAGACATAGCATCGCTGCAGGATCCTTCTGGTTCGCGGCAGGGCATTTACAAGACTGCACAGCGTTGGATTGCCAGACGAAGAACCAGAAACTTCGTGTGCAATATGAATGCGATTGGCGTGGCTCCAAGTTCAGAGCAAGTTGCAGAAGAATATCGCAAACAAAGTGCGTCCTCTGTACCAACTACCGATGCCCGTGGATAACGAGCCTGGAGCAGTCGCTTCCGTCGCAGTTTTGCCTTCCGGCTGGGCAAGATGAAAGCGGCCAAGCCAGTGGAAGATGTTTGTGCAAAGGCCGGGTGCTGGGTTCTCGAGACTTCCTGCACGCGTAACACCGCATGCTTATGGTAGCTGCTTGCAGTGGATCGTTCTGCACTTATCTGCGTTTCGATACCTCCTAACCAGCGGCAGCATTTGGACCCGAGGATTGAGGGGCCGCATCGCTTTCGACTCCATGCGGGGATGCTTTTTGAGCTCATTTTTGGACCCTCTTTTCTAAGGCTAACTCGTGGAAGCACTTACAACCCCAAAACGAGGCTCCAAAATGAGGCCTCGTTCTGGCTCCAGTTTTGGGGCCCAATTTGGGTTCAATTTCGGTAAGCCATTTCTCGTTGCCTGCAGGCCGTGCTCTTCTGGCGCCACGCTGCTTGGTTGGAACGCTCCAGCGCGAAGCAGCCAGTCTACATCAATATAGATGAAACGGCTTTAGCCTATTCGTTCCATGCTGCGCCTGGCCTGATACAGCGGAAATTCCACGCAGAGGTTCAAGTTAGACCTCAAGACGCACGTGGGTGCATCACCCACGTCGCTCTCGTCTCAAATGTCCTCAGTGTGCAAGCGCATTTGCCACAGATTTTAATATGTAACAAGCGTCGTCTCAGCAGAACCCTGGAGCAACAATTGCAAAGCGTTGTTCCCTCCACCGTGACTCTCTGTCGTGAGGATTCCTCATGGAATTCAGCACGACATATGGTCTCCTTGCTAACTCTCTTGGGTCAGCTCTTTCGCATCCGCGTCCCGCAATATCAGGCCATTGTTGTCTTCGACGCGGCCTCGTGCCATCTTTCTCCGGGCGTCATAAGAGAAGGACGCCTCCAGGGGTTATTCATGCTGCCGGTGCCCCCAGGCATGACGTCCTACCTGCAGCCTTTAGATTTATGGTGTTTTGGACCATATAAGAAAGGGTTGGAGCGCGAAAACCGCCAGCAGCGAATTTGCCAAAATGGGCTCGTGTCTCTAGAGACTTGGTTTAGAACAATTTTCAAAGCGTGTACAGACTACTGGACGAATCGTCCCTTTTGGAAGGCCTTTGCACAGGCAGGCCTTCCCACATCCGAGCAACGGTTGCATGGCAAGCTTGCCTCGCTGTTCCCGGAGGGAATTCCCAGTCTGGAGCAAGCTTTGTCTCCAGATGAATTTGCACAGTTGTTGCCTAAAAGGCACGACTTGACCCGGACTTTTTCTGACTGGGTGGGCGGTCCCCGGCGAGAGGTGCCGGTGCTTTCCTAAACATCTTGAAGCATGCAGAGAAGACGTGCTGCCGCAAAAAATTGCAACTGTACAGGAACGACTTGTGCCCCTAGCGTATCAGCTGCTGCCAAGCACTCTGATTTGGCTCCGGCCATCAAGCAGTTAATATGGCGCTTGCTGAGTTCTCTGCTTGGCTCCAGCAAACCCTGCCTTAAAACACCGTGCTGAAGGCATGGCAAACAACGAGGCAGGTCAACACTGTTTCACAGCACCCCTGCTGAAACAAAGCGCCCCGCCCGAGGCCGAGGTTGCGGGACCTGAGCTTCCACGAGAGCCCGACCCTGTGGAACTGCCCCAGGTAGCCATGCCAAAAAAGCATCCACAGGAGCAGCTGCTCACTCGTATCTACGCAGGAAACGCTGAACGAACGCCTTGCTGCCCTAAAAGCTGCCAGGGCAGCTGCGAAGGCTCACAGCATTGTGTGTCTTAGGAGGCTCAGGCCCTTTCTTGTACAGCCTTGTGTGCCTCTCCAGGTACAAGCCAAGCAGCTGAGCAAGGTGGTAAAGGCCGAAACAAAAAAGCTCAAAAAAGCGCGGGCGGTGGCACGAAAGCTGAGCGAGGCAGACTTGCTAGGGCTTCTTGTAGAAAAGAGGCAACCAGTTCTCTGAGAGTGGGAGCTGGAAGCTTCTA